AGAAATCCAGAATTCTGATACCAGTTCTGATTCCTCTTACACCATTTTTTACCATTTCATTTCTCCTCATCAATTTCCTTGTCTGTAATAAATTGTGACAGTGCTTTTGCTTGAATATGTGCACGGCATAAACTCTGAAAGCCAATTTAGTAAGCCAGGTTAATGTGATCATGCCTGATTGCTCTTTAAATTACTATCTAAAGACCACTAAGGCCTAACAAGATTTCACTTTGATGTCAGCAGACAGAGGTGAGTATATGTTTGATGTACTGAACAAGCTCATTCTTATACATAGCATATCTTTCATATTAAAATCATACAGAATGAGTAACTGTGATGTCCTGCATCTTGGGAGTCAATTAATACATTACTAGCAGCAGTCCCTGAAACAATTTTCATCGCCTTGATGATGGCACTGTGCAAATGTCTAATGGAAATAATACACAGCTATCTCTAATATTGTTACTTCAGTTGTTGGAATGGAATCTAATAAATTACAAAAAACCCTTTTGACAACTTTAAATGAAATATTATTGTGATCATATTAGAAATCTAGTGTAAATACAATTTTAAAAGAGATGAGTTTAATCAGGGTACATTTATGAATAGATTTAAATGGGTTTTTTTTCCTTCAAAGGGCAGTAGCTTTCAAATTCACTGCACATATTTCTTTTACTTAAATTTTATTTTTTCTTTCAGGTTAACTCAGTGCTTATGAATAATGCCAAAATGATAGCCACTGCTCTGTAAAATTGTTTGTCTGAACAGATTAAAAAAAGCAGTACATAATTTCCTTTACAGACTGCCCTGTCATACCGACACTCACCCAAGAGGGAAAATAACTGTAAAAAGAGGGCATGTATTCAGAAGTACATGTTGATTTAAGCCTAATGGAAGGTGGTCAACATTAATTCCATCATATTAAAAATTATCCACTAAAAATGCATAAATAAATTCTATACTCATATTTCAGATACAGAGGATAAATGATAAGGTTTTGAAAAAGCACGCTGTTCTGGTCACAGATATAGAGCTCTGCTTCTTCCAAATCTGCACTCTTTCTGCCTTGATACATGGGCAAAACGTTGAAGATGATGAGGCTTTTTCAGGACAGTCAGATGAAAAATACCATATTGTTACATTACCCTGTACTGCCATAGAACAGTCATGAATATTAAATTTTTCAGCATCCTTTTCTTAACAAAAAATATCTGTAGTAGTTTGTATGTGAGCATGCATTAATGTGACAGAGGTTTAAACAACAAACTTGTAAAACATAGGTTATTAATTGGCAGAAAAATATCTGGTAAGCTGAGGTTCTGGGATTTTTGTTGGGTTTTCTTGTTTGTTTGGTTGGGGGGTGTTGGGTTTTTTTGGTTTTTTTTTTTTTTTGTTTGGTTTGTTGGTTGTTTGGTTGTTTTTGCCACACTGGAAAATGGAAGAGAAATGGCCACCACACTGAAGAGGACTTTGCAATCTTTTCCTATGCACCATCGACATCCATTTGCCTGTCTCTGCAAACTTGAGGACAAACAGCAAAAAAATTCTCACTGGAAGCAATTGTGCAGGTGTGCAACACAAGAAAAATGTGATGCACACCTGCACACTAGGAATGCAAAGACATATAAAGGGAAGATGCCACATGCAGCACAACAAAAACCTTTGCTAGTATTATCTTGACCATGTTGTTCTCTTGAACTTTCAGTTTATTTTGCTGATTCTGCATGTCACTGTTGAAACACAGCAATAAAGAGAGGTTACAGACATATTTGTAGTGTCCTGGTGGGGCTGCACCCCCTTCAGCAATCCTTGCATAAGGGCAATTAAAACTGCTGCCTTGTGTAAATTGTACTGGAACTTGTAGCACTTGATCCTCTGATGATTTCTGTCACCATTCACTGAGACCTGTGCTTTTGCGCAAAAAACAAGGCATGAACTTTTCGTCTTCATCTGCACGTGCTGTTTTTGCCTGGCTTTCTGGAGTTTCACAATACCAGGAAAACAAGTAAAGCACTGCAAAGTAAATGGGCAAGTCTTATTTTACTCCCAACACCCTGTCCATTTTCATGGGTTACATGGTAATATCATACTCTAATTTTACTTTTTAGACTGGATCTCTTAATGAAAGTTGAGCAAAGAGGGTTATCTTCTGTTATCAATCTGATGCATTTTCATACTTCTAGATTACACAAGCAGATACCCAAACTTTAATAATCAGGTCAAACGCTTTATTGTGTAAGCTTCAAGCACAATTTCAAAATCACCACCTGTAAGCTAGACTAATTCCCACCAGTTTGTAAACTATATTTTGATTTGCAACCTGACATTTCTTGAGACAGTTGTCTAAAAACAGACATGAAAGGAATTACATGCACTTGCCAATAATAGAAGACATTATTTCTGTAAATCTGTATTCTCTTACAGAAGGTTTGCAGTATTAGCTAGTCACTCTCAACTGTTCAGTGAAACTGTCAGCTGATTTAATAGATACAGTAAAATCCCATTTATAAATTACTATGACATAATAATATAAATGTCTATGCACAGGTGTCCTGATGTCATGGCTAGAGGAAGATAAGACCCTTGTGATTTCAGGTCACATGAAACATCCTACACTTTATAATATACTTATTATTATTTTAAAGTATATTACAGTAGCATTATAAAAATAATTAAATTGAAAATATATATGCTTTTGGAATAAATATGTAATTTTGGTGAATCATTTGATTCTGCAGATCTAGTTCTGCAATCAATCCAGAACTCAACTGCATTTAACATCTTAAAAATTTTATGTGATTTTACAAAATTGCATATGATCTAAAGATACCAGTGAGTGACTCTTGGATATATTTTAGTATGCTGACAATGGTTTGAATTTATATGAAGCTTGGCTTTTGCTATCTGGATTTAAAAGCACAATTTCTCTACGGAACTTCTCTCTTTCAGTGTTATACCTGCATTGAGAGCTTTGTGGAAAATAAGGGGAAAACACCAACATCTCCAGCTTGGTTTTGCTTATTTGTTTGTCTTCTGGGGGGGGGGTTGTTTTTTGTAAGAGATTCAGCAAAGATGACATAAAAAGACTGGCAGGGTTTATTGTTTTTTTTCAGATATAGTAAATCAGATAGTTAATATAGATAAAACAAGTTGTGATAAACAACAAAATAAACATTGTTGAAGAAAGTGTTAACCTAGAATTATTTGCTCTATTCTAGAAGTAGGTGTTTTGAAGTAAAAAAAGGGTTTTGACTTTTTGTCTTTCCATGTACTTGAAAAGTATCACACAATTTGTAACAGTTCAAAAAAGTCTTAAGAGATAAAAATATTCCAGGTAAATCTGTAATAAGTGTTAGTCTTAATGAAAATATTCCATTAGTACTAAAGTTGCTTATAAACTTAATGTCAGTGGAGCAAAAACAGGACAAAGGAAGAATCTGATTCATCAGTACATTGATAATAGTCCATTTTGTGCAAAATTACCAATTTTTTGGCAGTTTAGAACTGACCCTACATGACTACCAAGAAAAACTTACACAAAGGAAAAAAGAATACTGAAAATATAGTGATGCATAAGTAATATCTCTGTCTTTTGACATTAAAGGCACAGCAATCACATTGCCTGTGCTACAGTACCAAATGTGATGAGAGTCCTTGTTGGCATCTTCAGCGAGGTGCCAGAACAGATATGTCTTAGAGAAAGTGTAACTTGTATCAGCTGGATATCACAAATATGATTTTTTCCATTATGTGGTCCCCCTTTCTTCAGACTTACAGCAAGCTCATTGTATTAACTTTGTGATACAAACACACTGCTTTGCAAATTGCTTTGATTAATACATTTTAGGGCTTAACACGAATGTCTTCACATGCAATATCCAAATACATTTTTGGCTGCTGTGCTAAATAATCTACTGTTTTATTTATACATCCTCAGAATAGTTTTCTGGAAGGGTGGAGGAAACATTAATTTTCTGTTGATTTATTTATATTTAAGGAAAAAAAAAGTTTTCCCACTTGTACACAAAAAAAAAAAAAAAATTCACAATGGTATTAAAGTTAAAACAAGCATGATGACTCATTTTTACAGCAGGTGAATTTGAAACCTTGCTGTCTAGGGAAGTGGCATTTGGGGACCCAGGAAATAAATTCCTGACTTTTTATTTTCACTAAGTCCTTTACTTAAACTGAAAATTATACACAGCATCCAATTATACATTCTGCTAAGATTTTCTTCAGGTGTCCTTTTCAGCTTTCCTATCTGAAAACTCTGTTGTTTAAATTCACCACCCCCACACCCCTCAAACAGTTTTCTGTTAATTACTTATGCCCTCTAACAGAAACAGTGGACATATGATGAGAGAGGGAATTGCAAAAATTATCAGCAGGTATGATTGTGCTTGTCTACACACAGTATAAAAGCTCTACTGCAGGACTTTGAATTATGAAGCAATAAAACATATTAGAAATACTTGAAAACAATCTGAACAATCAGAAATAAAAGCAAATGGTTCTGAGACATAGGACAACAGACCAAAAAGGATGTCTCTTCATTAGCTGAAAAGACACTTGGAATAACCATATCAATCATAGGAATGACTGTTCATTCTGAGTTTGAGATTTAAAGTTTATATATTATCTCTTGATATCAGAACAATGTTTGTTGCTAAAAATCAAATATGCTACCACAGTAGTCTCAATTAAAATTAGTTGTAAAACACAGACTTATATCAGAACTCTCTTATTTTGTTTGTTGTATTGTTGTTGTTGCTGTTGTTTTTGTTAAATATAAAAAGCAAGAACAGGGAAATAAGACAAACATACAAAGACAGAAAGTATATAGTGACTACAGGAAAGGCTGGATGGTAAAAACAATCAGCAGAGGGAACTACTCCCAGTTGAAGACTTGTCCCGTCCCACCAGCAACAGGCACACAATTATAATACATTATACTACTTCTCTGTATCATTTGAACTTTCAAAGAAATAGTAAAAAATTACCTTTCCCACATACTGAGGTTCAGAGCCCATGTATTCCTCCAGCACAAAAAACTGATTCCACACCCAGCCTCGTTTGACTCGCTGGGCAGATGATCTCCTCCCTGGCACTGGAACAACATTTTCTCTTGGCTGTCCTTCTAAAATCTCTTGTGCTTGTGGATGCAGTGGTGTTAGGAGACCTCCATCAAACAGGACCCAGAGAAGCAGGGATAAGCAGTTCCTTGTGAGCATTGGCAATGGCTTCTCTACCGCAAGAAATAAAAACTCCAGCACTTAATGCCGAGCAGAGGAATCCAGGTTTGAGGTGTCTGTGGCCTTCACCACTTAGCTTCTGATTTTATTGCAGAAATGCTAATGCAGGCATTAATCCTTCTGATGACAAGGTATTTGCCGCAATAAATTCCATCTATAGGGACCTATAAAAGAGATTTACATGCAACATCAAATTACATAGGATTACACTGAAGCATTCATCAAAATTCTCACACCTAGTTAGTTTCTACAGACAGAGAAAAATATTAAGAATCACAGTTAAAAAGAGATTACTATTTTCATTTTCATTGTAGCACTGAGCTGCTCTAGAACACTGTGTAGTTATTACCTCACTCTTGCTCTGCTTAGCATTACCTTTGTGTCCATCTGAGACAGGGCTGTAGTCCTGTAGATACTTTAGGATCAGTTATCAAACAAAACTGTTTCTCATCAGTGATATCAAAAATGTTTACTCTTTTTTATTTTACTTTTACTCAAATTTTACTCAAAAATCTTTTACTCAAAAAAATATTTACAAGCAAAATACTGGAGAACAGGGGATCCACTCTTTCACCCTACTGTGCAGAGCAGGACCCTTTGCTCATTTTCTCTGCCACAAAAGCTTCTTGAAGTCTTCTCTACAGTGTGCTGGTTGCCACATATAAAAAAAAATAACTACCTGTAGGACTTAAGATAGATGCATTTTACTTTTAAAAACAAAATACAATTTATAGAGCTATGGAATTCACCACTTTGTTAAGGTCATACTGTGTCATTGATTTTTAAGCATAGGTTTCTAGGAAATCGATAGAGTTCTGCTTAAAAAACAATGACATGATATGGACCTCAAAAAACAAGAATAATAAATTACTTAGCCATATATATTTTTCCTTTTCAAATACTGCCAAAGGTTATATTTTCCTTAGGAATAATATTATTACTATCCATAACAATAAATAGCATAGAAATTCTTATTTGTTGGGTACATGCTGAAGTGTTTAAATGGAAAGAATTTATAATCAGGAACCTGGAAAATTTAACAAGTCTTAGGAAAAAAAAAAAAAAAAAAACACCCTAGAAGAATAACTGCACTTCCTATATTAAATTTAGGGTGAGACTTCCTGTTCAGATTTGAAAGGCTACATTTTAGGTCTTAATAAAAAAGAAAGCAAAAAACCTGGTGAAAGGTATCTACTGAGTGTTTTAATTCTGCCTTCAGAAAGGATAAAATATAAGGAAAGAACTCCCATCTGCTCAGAATACTTTAAATAAAGTTTTTCTAAGTTATGTTCAAACATTTTAATGTTTTTCATCTACAGCAAAATAATGCTTTGTGCAATGAGTAAAAACTTCTTACTTCCACAATCATTTGCAGTCTTTGGATTTTATTCCAGCAAAGGAACCTTAAGACGTGACCTAACTGCAACAGAGATCTGCATTCAATATATTTGGTATGAATTTATTTTTCACCGAACAGTTCACATGTGGTTTTCTGCTTCTTTTTTTTTTTAATGTATTCAGTGGTATATAACATCACATTCAGACTGTGTTCATCCATAATTCAGTCCCAAGATTTCCCAACTTTTTTGCCTCTCCTGATCCATGGTTGCAGAGTGCATGCCTTGTTTTTACGACAAAATCATAGTAATCATGAAACATAGCAAAAAATAGAACCAATCAACTCAACAAATCCTTTTGAATTGCCCAGACATAGATGGGAGGTGGAAACAAATATAAAAAAAAAAAGGGGTGGGATAGTCTGCACTGCTTCAGAAATGCCAAAATCATGTTGTAGTCAACTTTATTGCCATACCACTTCTCTTTGCTGAGAAGACTCTGTACATTGCAGTTCTCCCAGCAGAGCTCTGCCTCCGGCCATGGCTGTCAGTCAGGGGGCTTTTAAAATGTTATACAGCACCAAAAGTAATGCAAAGAGATTGAAAGACTTCAGTGAAAGGAGAGCAATTCCCCCTTGGCTGGAAGGTTAGTAACCAAGTGCAAGACACAGAGCACTTTAACCCCTTCTCCATTGGTCTCCCAGACAGCCTCCCAGAATGCCTACTGCAGAGTCAGGAAAGAGCAATGCCAGTGCTTGCTTCATTTCCTACAGCTTCAAAAGATGATGAATGGGAGGGTCAGGGAAAAAATGGGAGGCTAATGGATGTTGCAGTACAGGATTGTAGCACAGATGCCCTCATCAGCTACAAAAGAGTTCAATGTGAAGAATTTCTTTCAATTTTTCTTCTTTTTTTTTTATTTCTTTTATTTTTTAAATTTAAACCTCAGCAAGGCAAATAATTGAGACTCTCATGCTTTGTCACTTGAAAGCATCACTCCAGCTTGCTATTCTATAACATTTGCACTGTAGGAAACTGAGGCAGAAGGTTCTCCCCCATAATTTCATTGCTGGCTTTGCAGGAGGCTTTGTCTGATAGAATATATTTTATAGCACCACTGGAACTTGTACAGGAATTCAAAAGCTAATATATATATTTTTCTTTTAGTCTGTGCTCGTTGTTTTGCATTTTATTTTTAAGCTATGTCAAAACCTGTCTTAGTGCTTTTATATTGTCAAACACTCATTGGTCCCTTATGTACCTCTGATCAGAAAACTACTAAGACAACTAGGAGACAAGGATTTAAAAATCTGCTCAGAACAATTAACCATAACAAAGGCACCATATTTCCTAAATTTTTAGGGCATTATTTCCAGTGATGCTCATAAAGAAATACTTATCCAGTGAGATAGTTGTGAACAGACATGCACCCTCATTGCATCTCTTTCCCATATATTACAGAAGTACAGATGGTCAGATTTTTCTTAGATCTTGGGGTTTTTGTCAATATTAGCTGCTGCTACTGATTTCTTCAAACTATCTTGTAAGGATTTAAGTACCATTATACATGATCTAATTAACCCATAAAGAGAGCTTCAAAGTGATACCCTGTATGAATTTAGTCCCACATATGCTTTTATAAACTGTGATTACATTTATTCATTTCCCCTGTTTGATGAAGGGAAATAAATGACCCAACAGCAAGAATGGACAGTCTGTTAATACACAATTATTAAGAAATCTTGATCATATTTACTGTATCCCCCAAACTGCAGGCTTAGAAACTCATGAAATGCAAATGATGAATAAAATATCACTACTAAAATTATTTATTGGGAATAACAAAATACAGTATAAATGGTGCTCCTGCAAGAATTTTGATTCTGACCTGGACTATACTGCGATTAATCTAAAGAGCCTGAGCAAAGAAATGCTTTTGGAATACAAAACCGATGCATGCCATTTCTGCTGCAACAACCCTTAATCAATGGTGCAGCAGACACAAATCACCTCACCAAGCTTGGCAAAGGTTGTCCCTTGTAGAGAGAAGAGCCATAGATCCTCTGCAATCACTAGTATGCACATAAGGCCTCATGTAGAGAAGTATTTGAAAAGAAAGTTTAAATGATCTTTGATCATGTCATGGTTTAATCCCAGCCACCAACTCAGCCCCACCCAGCTGCTTGCTCACTCACACCCAGTGAAGAAGAGAATCAAAAAGATAAAAGTGAGGAAACTCATGGGTTGAACTAAAAACAGTTTAACAGATAAAGCAAAAGCTGCAAATGTAAGGAAAGGAAATAAGTTTATTTACTCCTTTCCCATTGGCAGGCAGATTTTCAGTCATTCTCAGGAAAGCAGAGCTCCATAATACATAGTGGTGTCTTGGGAAGACAAATGCCATCACTCCAAACATTCCAACTTTTCTTCTTCTCCCCTGCCCCCCAGCTCTATATGCTTTCCATGATGCCATATGGTCTGGAATATTCCTTCAGTCAGCTTGGATCAGCTGTCCTGGCTGTCTCCCCTCCTAACTTCTTGTGCACTCACACACTGGTGAGCTGGGGTGACATGCAGAAAAGGCTTTGACTACATAAGCACTGCTCAACAATAGCCAAAACACCTCCATGTTATCTACTCTGTTTTTTTTTCAGGAAATTTTCAGGAAAATCCAGAACACAGCTCCATACTGGCTATTATGAAGAAAATTCATTCCATCCCAGCCAAAATCAGTGCAGACCTGTATGATGTATCTACTTGGATCAGACCACAGATGCACCACTGTCACACCCAGACAAGCAGGAAACACTAAAGCTCCATGATGCACTCAAAACTGTTATCAGTCCAGCAAGGCTGGTAATTGAACCTCCATGAATGGAGGCAAATTGCTTACTGACAAAGTATCCATTATGCACTGATGGTGGGAGCATTTCTGCAGCCACCTTTACCGTAAATCTATCAGCACAGAGAATGCTTTAGCTCACGTGATATAAGAGCTAACGTAGAGCAACCATCTTCCTACCCATAAAGAGGTTTGCAAAAGCTTGGCGATACTGTAAGATGGTTGATCACACCAGCAGGAAAGCCAGATAACATCTATAACTATGGATATGCTGTATTAGCTGACCATGTAACCTTGTTTCTCTGCAGTATCTTGGAATAAGAAGAAAAAAAAAAAAAACAACAGAAAAAAAACAGTCCCTGTTTTTGGTATCTATTAAAATTAACTGACAAAATATTTAAGATTATATATCATCTGGTTAAAGAATAGGTAAAAGGATATGGTAAATCTTTCTCTGAGTTTAAACAAATCAGATAGGTGGATATCCTCAAAGTCATTTAATTAAACAAATCCCATTAGATTAGACTCTAAATTACCATATTTCCTTCTGAGTTTGACTTTCCTGAGCTTCACAACCTATCTAGATACCTTGTAAATGAAAGTAATTATTCCTTTTTCCACCTGGTCTTTTCAGTTAACATGGGAACTACTTGGTAATATCAAAAGAGCGGTTAGGAGGGAGATTACAATTAAACAGATTATAAACCACAAACTAGCAAAAACATTAATTCTCAATCTGTCCATCCTACAGGTCAGAAAACTTTCAACAGATTAAGCAGGTGCCACCTCTGCAGCTACTA